ATTTTATAATATGCTGAATTAAAAAAAGAAGCACATCAAAAATATTTTCACAGTTTATATTGCCAGTTGTATTTCATACTGACTGAAAAAAAAAAAAGGATTTCTCATTTGTTATAGCTATAAAACATAACGAACGAGAAATTTAATAGGTTGCTGAATGAGGAAAACAAATGAAAAGAATAAAATATAATTTTATTAAAACTATTATTCATTTATTATTATAACAGTGTATGGTTCTGCCTGTGGCTAAAACAGTGTTCTATGGCCCAGTAAGCAGTTCTGAAGCAGCGTAAATAATAAATAGCGCGACACAATGAATCCATAATGAAATTCGTTGCCAACGCTTTCAATAATCAATTTTTATTGATTCGCTGTTGCAGCCTTGGCTACAAATGCATGATATAACAGACTATAAAAAAAGAATTGCAACATTAAATTTAACATRCGGTTTTCATGTGATGATGTGAAAAAGAAAATCACATCTGTACTTTGCAGTTTTCATGATGTCAGTGYGAGAAGTCTATGTGAAAGCAGTACGACATGATTGTTTGCATCAGTTAAAATGCAGAAATTACCAACAACGCCTGTGGTTCCATCGCCGATCTCATCATCTTGGGACTTCGACAGCTCCACCATGAGCTTGGCAATTTGATGGTCCACATCCATCATGCTGAGAATAGTGGCTCCATCGTTAGTGACAGTTACCTCTCCATCCCTGTCAACCATCATCTTGTCAAGACCTAATGATAAAGTAAGGAGTAAAAGTGTGAGAAGTAAAATTCCACCTCTAACAAAAGATTTATTAATTTCAAGTTATGGCGAAATACATGGTCCGTTCAAAACGACAGCTCTGGTTTTGGCTAAAACTCACCATTTGGTCCCAAAGATGTTCTCAGCGTTGAAGCCACTGCTTTCGCTGCCATGATATGAGACTGTAAAGACAATAACAGCACATAGTTTAGGTTAGTTTCTTGTTTTGTAGACCTGGTCGTCTGTGACACGCTGTAGAGATGTACGTCATCAATGGCCATTTAAGGAACAGCTAGCAACACCGACTGGCAGAAATCACAGGAGCACATGTGGCCTCCGTGTTAGCATGATTAGCAGGCTAATGCTATTCCGCTGCTCCTGCACAAACAACTAACGATCGCTTCACTGGGCCTTTACAGCCTTAATTATGATCTTATGTCCTAGTCAAGTGAATAATTGAGCAACGTGTTATACACCACGATGCTACAGATTTGCTAGCTAGCCCATTGTACCTTCAGTGCATCAATGCCCGATAGCCGCGTCTTCTTGTCTTGGTCCTTGATGATGATAAAGGGCCTCCCATATTCATCAAAAGCCAATGTGCCCAAAGTGGACATGTTGAGCGAAGAATCAGGACACACAGTGGGAGCTGAACGAATTAAAAAAAATTCTTTATTAAAGGTAATTTGAAACGCAGCTGATCTGCAAGCCGCACAGGTTAGCCGGCGACTTCTGGAAGGCTCCACGGGCGGGGCAAGGGTTCTTCTTCGTTGTTTTATTGGCAGTTAGCAAACGATGTGGGGTGTGCTTTACCGCCACCTGCTGGTTGAATGAGAAGTATAAATACATGAAATTCTGATACCTTATTAGTTTGTACACAAACAAATCATGTCACACTCCAGCAGGAAATAACCATTAAAATAAAAGGACTGTACTTAAGAAGTATTTGTATTTCATGAATTATATTATTGCATTTGGCTGCAGCCCTTACACCACCGCCTGCCGCTCTAAGGTTAAAGGTAAAACTAAAACCCACTCAACACCAGCAGGTGGCGGTAAAGCACCACGTGTTGTTTGCTAACCGTCAATAAAACAACGAAGAAGAACCGGAGTATTGCTTTGAAAAACAACAAGCAGAACGTTCGGAACACAGAACGAACAAACATTAAATTTCACCGTTTCCATGGAACTTTCGGCCGCCGCGGTGGCCTAGCGGCAACGTCAGCTGACTGCAAATGCATAAAAAAAATCCTCGACCTTCGTGTCGCAGGTTCAAGTCCGTTCCCGGGCTCACGGTTGTTCCACGGGGCTGACTGGTTGGGACTTGCTWGCTTGCAAAGCGGCGTGTCGTCGGGTCACGGCCAATTCCCGAGTGCATCCTGATGACTTGGGACATTTTTTTTTTTTTTTTACTTAACTAAAAATGTCCAGCTTCCGATTCGGGAAATGACTAAAGGGCGATTACAACTAATTTTTCACTACCTTCAGCATATTTAATCTGTTCTAGTTTAAAAACTAAAATACCTGGACTCTTCAAACCTGGACTAGATTGTTCTTCACCAATAGCCGAATAATTAAAACTTAGTTTGGGATTTGTGAAAGCTTTTTCTGATTTGTGAAACTTAAGCAAATTTAGCTTTTTATCATTTTTGTGCATTTGGACCACACAAGACCTGGTCCAGCTCCAAAACCACAACACCTGGACTCTTCAAACCTGGACTAGATTATTCCACTCTAATAGAACAATAATAAACACTAAGTTTGAGCTTTGGGAAACCTTTGTCTGATTTGTGAAACATCAACAAAGTTTGTTTATCATTTTTCAGGCAACTGGACCACACTAGACCTGGTCCGGCCCAAAAACCACAACACCTGGACTTTCCAAACCAGGACTAGATTATTCTACACTAATAGTGGAATATGTAAAACTAAGTCTGAGCTTTGGGAAACCTTTGTCTGATTTGTGAAAAATCAATTAAATTTGTTTTTCATCATTTTTTAGGCAACTGGACCAAAGTTGCTTAACGCTCAAACTTAGTGTTCTATTAATGTAGAATAATCTAGTCCTGGTTTGGAAAGTCCAGGTGTTGTGGTTTTTGGGCTGGACCAGGTCTAGTGTGGTCCAGTTGCCTGAAAAATGATGAAAAGCAATTTTTGCTGAAGTTTCACAAATCAGAAAAAGCTTTCACAAATCCCAAACTAAGTTTTATTTATTCTGCTATTGGTGAAGAACAATCTAGTCCTGGTTTGAAGAGTCCAGGTATTTTAGTTTTTAAACCAGAACAGATTAAATATGCTGAAGGTAGTGAAAAATTAGTTGTAATCGCCCTTTAGTCATTTCCCGAATCGGAAGCTAACTTCAGCTTCGTGCATTTTTGAGCGGATATTTTCAGTAATATGATGACATATATGCATCTTTAAGTTGTTATTTTAGGACGTGTTTATTTTATTTAAAAATATAATAATAATAAATATACATAAATAAAAAATAAACATTTGATTGTATGACCAGACTATCAGAGACAACACTGAATCAAGACCAGACACGCTCAGAAACACAGCTTAAAGCTAAATATGACAAAAAGTATTTAATTTGAACTCTGTTTTATGTTAAATAATAATAAAAATAATGCATAAAATGTAAATGAAAACGAGTGCTCATTACTATGTGGTGCAGCACATTTTAGTTAAGTAAAAAAAAAAAAAAATTGGCCTTGACCCGACGACACGCCGCATTGCAAGCTAGCATATCCCAACCAGTCAGCCCCGTGGAAACACGGTGAGCCCGGGAACGGACTTGAACCTACGACACGGAGTCGCGGCTTATGCATTTGCAGTCAGCTGACGTTGCCGCTAGGCCACCGCGGCGACCGGAAGTTCCAGGGAAACGGTGAAATTTAATGTTTGTCCGTTCTGTCTTCCGAACGTTCTGCTTGTTGTTTTTCAAAGCAATAGTCCGGTTCTTCTTCGTTGTTTTATTGACGGTTAGCAAACAACACGTGGTGCTTTACCGCCACCTGCTGGTGTTGAGTGGGTTTTAGTTTTACCTTTAACCTCAGAGCGGCAGGCGGTGGTGTAAACAACATGACAGATACGCATCTTTAAGTTGTCATTTTAGGACGTGTTTATTTTCTTTAGACACATGAATTATTAATAATAAATATACATAAAACAAAGAATAAACTTCTGATTGAATGACCACACTATCCGAGACAAGATGAACCAAGACCAGACACGTTCAGAAACCAGAGTTTTATAAAGTACCACAAAGTGATACTTGAGTAAACGTACAAGAAGGCTATCTTACAAAAAACAAATATTTGAYAAAAGTTAAAGTCTCCTTTAGGTATATTACTTGAGTAAAAGTCTGAAAGTATCTGATATTTTTGTACTTAAGTATCAACAGTAAAAGTATTGATTTAAAACGAGCAGTTAGATTAAGGACATTTATTAGGTGACCTCCCTAAAAAAAAAAAGGGCAGAAATATTGTATTAAAAATAATTCATGTCAAATTTGGGATGCACTAATCTAGCTGTTTCAGTTAAACCTTTAAAAATCGTTATTACTCTTGGTCAAATGAACATTTTTTTGATATGCTTTCAGACTCACAATAAATCAAGATTTGACAACACTTGAGTGTTGGTTCGTTCTGAACTCGCGCTGTCGAATCTATGATCTCGCGAGAGTTGAGTAAAAAAAAAAACTGAGTCTGTTGGGGGAAACCAGAGTCGAAGGAGTGAGATTTTACAGCAGTTTCAGAAAGGTAGAAGTCCTCCGCCATTTCTATGCTGCATGTTTTTCTTTTTTGTTATAGTACCATGTAACACCTGTAAATGAGAAACCGTACGCTTAAAATGATTCGAGTTAGCAAGACTTGACTGCTAGCTTACTGTATAAACAGCTGAAATCCACGTGCTCTGTTATGGTGCTTGCGTCAAAATTTGGACGTAACATCCGGGTATTATTGGAATGGTGGCGTTCAGAGCAAAGAGGTTTCTTTGGCAGAAAACTGTCTCTTACATGTACAAGTATGYTGGTAAGAACATATTCTTTAAATAACACATAGCTTGTGAACTAATTACTTTGACTTAAGTTAATGTTTACCACGTAGTAGCAACAGGGATGTTATTTTTCTCACTTTCATTGCTGACATGTCCTACAGGGATTGTTTTCAAATGTTGGAGTTTGAATTAAAACCTCTGCTTCATGAATGGGATACATGTAAATAACCCTAAACAAATACGTCTAAACGTATTAATAACTAGTAATAACATATTTACATAGTGTCATTGTTTGTAAACAAAGGTAAATTTATATTTTATCATTTTTAAAGACGAGATATAATGGTGACAGCTGCATTTAAAAATGAGCTTATGTTTACTAGTTTACCAGCGAACGTACAAAAATTATTATAATTGCATACTTCTATAGGTTTGATTATCAAATACAAATACGATGTGTTCGTGCTTTAATGATAATGCATCGTAACTCAATAATGAGTTGCGCTCGGGTTTTTTTGCTATGACAAGTGAAAGCTTGCTGTTGGAATGGTGCAGTAAGAAATGGCATTGTTTTTCTGGCTTTTCCAGCATGCCCAGTGAAGTCAAGCCCCAGTTTGTGGTTCTTTACGGGTCTCAGAAGGGTCAAGCTCAGTCCATAGCTGAGGGCATAGCTGAAGAGGCTGAGGAACATGGACTTAYTGCTGATCTCAGCTGCTTGAACCAGAATGAGAAGGTACACACCAGTTATTTGTCATGTAACAGAGCTATATTCTATTTTTTTTTTCTGTAGAAGCACTAGTCACTAATTATATGACTGGTTCCAGTTCAATTTGGTGAAGGAGAGCGCCCCAGTGGTCTTTATTGTGTCCACAACTGGAGATGGGGAACCACCAGACAATGCTCTACAATTTGTAAGACACATCAAGAAGAAGACCCATTCTCCTGACTCCTATAAACACCTTTGTTATGCACTTTTAGGTAAATTCTTACACAGGGGTTAGAAGTAGTCTGTTTCTCTATTTTATCAGTCTGGGAGCTTGCATTTGCAAAAGCACATTTTTGTAAATCATTAACATGCACATCTCTGCACGGTTAACTTTCTGAACCGTCGCTGGAGAATCATCTGCTTGTTTTTGTCCGCTCTGTCAGCTTTAGGAGACACAAATTATGCAAATTTCTGCAACTGTGGGAAGACAATCGAGCGTCGTCTTCAGGAACTCGGAGCTAARCAGTTTTATCCGACAGGATATGCAGATGACGGCGTAGGGTGCGTTCTGTTGGGAAATGAAGTATCGACATCCAAATTTGATCAGCTCCTATTTATTCAGAACACTCAGAACTTTTTTCTATTTTCTTTGGTGGCTCCAGGTTGGAAGTGGTTGTCGACCCTTGGATTAAAGGACTGTGGAGTGCCATCAAAGAGGCTTTATCTAAAATGGCTTCCGATGTGACTTCCCACTTGAAGGAGAATGCAGAAAATTCAGCCATGGAGATTCCTGCTTTGTCCATCCCAGATGTCCAGCTAAACCTTTTAAGCATTACCGACCAGCAGAACCGTGAGCCCGTCAGACCCCCTCGAAGCACAGACTCTAAAAACGCACCTCTCCCCGCCACTCGTGATTTCAGACCGGCTTCTCCTTCAGGAAGTGCTGGATTGGCGTCCCAGTGTAGCGGCGTCGCCACGCCAAAAACGCAGACCTGTACTGATGTTGAACCGGCAGCCTCGCTGACGTTCTCCCTGCCTCCACTGTCCGAGGCCTCACTTAATGTTCCTGCTCTGCCGCCTCCTTACTTAGACGTTACGTTTCAGGGTGTGGACTCTGTGGGACAGGTGATGCACGTTGCAGCTTTAAAAAGACAAGATTTCAACCATACTTCAGTCCTCGTCTAATGTGTTTTTATTTTCCAGACTTTTGGACCTTTAAACAAAGAGACTGTTTATGAAGTACCTATATCCAAGGCAGTTCAACTGAGCAGAGGAGGTTCAGTCAAGACAGCTGTTCTCCTGGAACTGGACATCTCTGTAAGCGTCACAAAGTCATGTTTGATTCTGATAAAACACAAGTTTTAATAATCACGTATTGATGCTTTTTATGTTGCTGTTTCATCATCCAGGCTTATCCGACAATGACCTATGAGCCTGGGGATTCTTTTGATGTGTTCTGCCCAAACAGAGCTGAAGAGGTGGACAAGGTGCTCTGTAGGCTGGGCCTTCAGGACCAGAAAAACCACCATGTTCTTATTGCTCTAAGACAGGACACAAAGAAAAAAGGTAAGCTCAGAGTCTTAAGAAACTATAGGTCACATTGTGCCTCTTGCAAGAACATTTTCGTATTTTTATCCTAAATTTCTCTTACTTTTTCCATACAAAGGGTTCGTACGAACACGTCAGATTCAACAAACGCTTCTAACTTCAGGAAAAGTGTGTAAACGAGCAGCGTAAACTGATGAATRTTTATTCAGGTGCACGAGGAGAGAAAATTAGCATAATTATTGCCCCAATAATAACCGTATAAGGCTACACTTCCTGCCTTACACACCAGGAAGTGTTCGTTCATGAAAATGGCAGCAAAAAGTAAAAAGAAGAACTTCACGAGTTCKGAGATTGACGTCCTGCTCTCAGAGATCCAGAAAAGAGAATCTGTCATTTTTTAGCATTGTCAGCTGTGGAATTAAAAGACCTGCTAAAGCTGAGGAATGAAATGAGGACTGCTGTTAATGTTAATGCCGTGTCTCCTGTGGGCTGCTACAGTTAGTGATTGTATGATTACGGGTGACAGAAATATCATTAAATTAAATAAAAAGAAACCTTCCAACCAGTATCCAACCGTTATGCCACTAGAAATAAGTTATCCACTTTTCCCTATCCTGATTTGCGAAAACGACATATTTTTGAGGGTCACACATCTGAAGTGGTTGATGTGATTCACTTAAATAAAGAAGAAATAGTTTGATATGACAATGGCTTCAAAAAACGTCTTGCCATTACAGTTAATGCTTAATTTAAGTTGATTTGAAGTTCGAGATCTTGAAGTTTTTATTGCAGTGTTATACAACACCATTAATAGCCAATTTAAATTATATCGTTAGGCTAGATTAATACATTTAAAATTATAATTCCACTTCAAACAGAATAGACTATTATCAACATAATTATGGAGTGTGATTTATTTTCAACTCAAAATATCTTCAAACTAATGAAATATGAAGTTATTAGTGAAGAAAATCCGTCAGGATAACAGCAGACTGACTGTAAAATATACGACAGGTCTGGACCACTCGTGAATTTTGTTCATATCTGAAAAAAATCTTATAATATGAGAAAATTGGTGAACGCCACAAGTCCTCCTAAATCACTCGTACGCACAACTTAAGAACAAATCTGTGCGTATGAACGGTTCTTGCATGTGGCCCAGTGTGCGTGTGTTTACGTAATTTACTTGTTTATAAAACTCACGTCTGTCTTGGTAAAAATGTTCCATTTTTAAAGGTGCAAAGTTGCCGTCTCACATCCCTCAGAGTGTTTCCCTGCTTTTCCTGCTCACATGGTGCCTGGAGATCAGAAGTGTGCCTAAAAAGGTACTGCATGTCCAAACGTAKCTCTACAGTGACTATAACAGTTTTTAATGAAACATCCTGCATCGTCAAAGCTTGAGGAATCTGTATCATTATTTATGTGGATGTGTAATTAAATTAAGCTATTTTCAGCATTGATTTTCTTTACCGAAGGAGCCCACCGGTCCTTTAACGTCGTGGGCTGTCGCCCGGGCTCAGAAGATTTACAGGGGTTCAGAGGTTGGTTTGATAAGTACAAAGAAGAGTAGATTTACCAAGTCCAGGGCTCAGGCTGAAATATTCATTCCACCTTTTTGTTTCCCTGTGGCGCTGTCGAATTAAAGTCACATTTGATGTGTGAGAATGTCAAAAGGTGGCAGTCCTGAGCTATAAAAATAACCATGCGTTTAGGTGGAGATGTGGGGTGCATGGGTTTCAACTCATTCTTCAGCATCACTGCTGCAACACTGGCAAATGTTAAATCCAATCTGTGAGCGCATTCCTGTGTTTATTGTTGCAAAGTTTCATCTCTGAACCATTTTTATCATTGACAGCTGTGTGTGGCGAWACAACCTATTAGCTCAGTTGCTTTTAGGATTGGTGTGAAAGATCTGAACGACCTGGAATGTATGTAGGAACGGTCCAAAATGTGGTTCAGGGGTGGTCATCCTCCAGCTGGGAGGTCAGCAGCTGCACCCACAGCTCCTCCAGGTGTCCCAAGTGTCCTTGGTTGAGACAGTGGACTTCACATTTCCCATTCAGTGTTGTCAAATGCATCGTTCTCATTAGGGCTGGGTAAAAAACTTGATTTAATCGATCTTGGATCAATTTAATTTAACGATTCACAGAGCATGAGAGYGATTCTTGTGCGTGCATCTGAAATGCGTTTCTATATTTTGTCACTCCTGGCTTGCCGTGTGTTTACATCCAGTTGACATTCAGCGCTAACGTTAGCTTTCGATAACAAGTTGTCTGGATCAAAACAAAAGAAACTAAGGAATCACTAACATTACCAGCCGATTCTCAGCAGAACTTAAAGATAACAGAGACCATGGTGACTTTTGTTTGCAAAGATTTGCGCTCCTACACTGTAGAGAAAACGAAGCTTTGACGAGCRGCTCGTTAGGCGCTCGAACCAAACAACTGTATGTAAACATCTGACTGAACTGTTCTCCACAGCGTGTTTAAATGTGTTAAAGACGACATTCTAACAAAATCATTTAGTTTTGTCACCAATATTATTATTTTAAAACTTTAAGAAAAGTCTTAATGAAATCCACAGTGATGAAATGTTGTAGCTGTTTTGTTTTAATAAGTTATAAGTATTAAGTTTTAATAATTTTTATTGAACATAACAGAAGGTAACAGAAGCATTACAAATATAGTTTTTATACACTCAGAGTGGGCAGAAGTATATTTATATTAGTCCACCTCTTCTACTGCAACCTTATTCCCATCGCTTCTTATTTATCAAGAAAATTATTAGTTTCTTAAAAATGAATTCCTCCAACAACACTGACACCTGCAATTCCTTTTTAATTTAAAACCTTTAAACTTGTGACAGTTTTCCTTCAAGATGAAACTATTTGATATAAAATTTGTCCTTAAAACCTGTTGTGTATGTTGAAGAGAAAAAACGGTAACACATTTGCAAAATACAATATCAATAAACATTTTCATTGAATCGAATCAAATTGAATTGAATTGTGATTAAATCAGTTCTGAACTTAATGAATCGAAATCGAATCGATCCAGACAATTGGCCGTGATACCCAGCCCTAGTTCTCATTGTCTCGTATGTCTGTGAGGTGGTGAAAAGAGAAATTAAGAGTTTGACCTAAGCAAAATAAATGTTTTTTTCCTTCCTGCATCATTTGAGTTGCTCCGTACCAGAATGGAGTTTTGTTTTAAAACAAGCTTTTAGTTAAAATCACTTGATTATTTAAACTTGGTGATTTATTCAAAAATAACTTGTCTTTAATTATATCTTGTCTAAACATATGTGCACCAACCAAAGATTGTAAAAATAGATGGGCATTGGACCAGAACCAGGAAGTTGAAGTGGTCAGCTGTCAGCTGTGCACATTTTAAGCCCCTCCCCCTTCCATGTAAACAAATTGAACATTGCCCTTCTTCCAAAATAAACAAACTTCAGATAATTTTGTATGTACATCTGCTTGAGATGTTTTACGAAACACGAGACAAATTTAAATAAAAACTTCAGTGGGGTAAATTGAAATCAAGATGGCAGCAAAGTTTCTGCTCTAGAGGATGATAACTCTTCCAGTAGAAGCCATAACCGTGCTCCACTAATTCCTGACAACTAACAAACTATAATTAGCTCGGAGAACATTCAGATCTCTTGGGCATGACAAATATTTGGATCTGATTACCAAATTACATTGATTCACAGTTACAGAACAAAATCAAATGACTTCAATTTCCTAAGGAGGAATATTTCAGCACTTCTCCATCATCTCTAAAATCATCATATTTTAAACACATTTAACACTAAACAGTTTTTAATTAAATGGCAGCAAGTTGATTTAACAATCTATTATTTTAATAAGTTTTAGAATTAAAAGCTTACTTGTGCCTCTCAGTAGTATTTTCAGACTGCCAGTAAAAGTGTCTCCGTTTGTTGTGAATGGGGCCCGGAGTTTGGAAAAGCTGTGACAGCTGACGGAGAACCGCCTCATGTGATTTCACCTGTGTTTTCCCGTGTTTGTGTGAAGGCTTTTCTGCGAGCGCTGGCGGAGCACACGGCAGACGGAGCGCAGAGGAGGAGACTGCAGGAGCTCTGCAGTAAACAAGGCGCCGCCGACTATAATCTGTACGTACGAGATCCAAACCTCGGCGCGCTGGAGCTTCTCGCCGCCTTCCCGTCCTGCTCGCCGCCTCTCAGCCTCCTCATAGGTCAGACTTCCCGCTGTCGCTCTAACTCACACACTTTTTACATTTAGATCTGTTGCTCAACTCATAAAACAGAACTATGATTCTTAAGAATAGCTTAAGAAAATTTACTGTCCATAAAAAAAACTGAAGTTTAGTTTACATAAGCAGTTTGATACCTGCCATGAAAATAATAATAATAATAATAATAATAATAATAATAATAATAATAATAATAATAAAATACAAATAACTAATAAAATGAAATGAAAGGCAGCAGAAAGAAGAATTTTTTTTTATAATATCTGCGCCTTTTTTCCATCAAATAAATTCAAACAATAATAAACTTTACGTAACAAAACAAAATAAAAAAGTAAAATTAAAAAATTAAAAAGTAGCCACCAAAATGTTCTCGAACAAATAATCTATTCTAGACAGGTCATTTTTACATTATTTGTTCCAAAATGATCAGGAAAGAAGGAGCTCACTGTGAAGACAGAGTTTATAAAGACAGATATTATGATGTGAGTGTGGGTGACACAAACCACCCCAGCTGGCTGTTAAAATATTTATCATTTATATCTGAATGTTTTATTAATCTGGCCCAGTGCTACATATTTATTTAATTGTAAAGTAACAGATTTTAAATTATACAATATAAAAACAGAAATGTTCCTATTTTAATTCTCCTTTAACAGTTTGGGATTGTTTGTCTCTTTCATTTTTTATCCATTAGGGGTCACTGTAGCCTTATAAATGAAGCTTTCTGAGCACATTGTCATGGCTTTTTTTTTTGCTCATAGCATTTAATAAAACTCAGTGTGAACCAAGAATCCCAGAGAATAAACACAGATTTTCTTGTCATTTTTTTGTGCAGCCACACAATGACTCTAATCTCATGATTTTGACGTCAACATTCGTATTTGTGGTTTTTTTTTATTTTCTCCATCCTTACAAATAAACTAAGCTTTTCCTTTTTTTTGTTTTGTTTTTGGAGGCAGTTCATGGTAGAAAGCTAACATTTTCTTTCAGCTCATTAAGTTAGCTGGCCGGTCAGTCACTATAGATCCTAACAGGCTTTGAATGAAACTTAGCCGACAGTGAAATTAGTTGGCCACAGCTTCACATACAAGTTGAGCTGTCCTCTAAAACAGCTGTGTCACAGCTCGTGGCCTACCCCAATGTCAGTTATTTTAGGCCTACTTGCCAACCACAGCACCTTTTTTTTCTTTTTTTTTCTTTTTTTTTTCGCCTCTCTGTCCTGTGGTGAACCGATGCAGAAATCAAGCAGAGATACAGTCGTGCCCTCGTGAAAAATGTGGCGTCGAAGTCCCCGCAGGGTAACGGCTGTTAGCCGGTTTACTAGTGAGCCTCGGAGCTTCGCAAGGACAAAAATGTGCCGGGGTCGGTTTGGATCAGAGGTTAATGGTCAAATCTGACTCAGTGTGTCACCGTTAAAGTGCGCCGCTGCATTTTTTTTTTGCACCGCACTCGGTTCATTACCTCCACTGAAGGGGAGGTGTTTGCTGATTGGAGCTCCACTAACTGTAAATAACAAGGAGCGATGGGTCTAAAACCCAGATGTCTTTAGCCTCTGCAGGCTTAGTTTAAAAGTCAGAGCCGGGTACAAATTGAGAAAGATGCCTGCCGCCTGGAGCCATTCCTTCTCTTATATGATCCATTCTTTCATAAAGTGTCAAATATACAGTTTGGGGTCAGAGCCTCCAGGAAATAAAATGTTCTCCGTGAGCATTCTTTTTAGTTTGCCCTACCACAGAGTGTGGATGTGAATAATTTGTTAAGCTTGTTTTTTATTTGTGGGACAGCGTAAGTAAAACTAAAGTAAGGTTATTATGTAATTATCTCAAGAAACATGATCTTCTCGTTCTTAAGAAAAAAAAAACCACATTCACAGAGAAACTACATGTATTCTGAAAATGTTAATCGGGGTATTATGTATATTCTAGGCATATAGTTCAATTCTAAATCACAATCAAGTAACTGTTAGCCTCAGTTATGGAAAATGTTGGACATCAAAAATAAAAGCCCTGAAATTGGCCTCTGTCTCTTTAAGAACCTGCTACCATTTCTGACACTCCCACTTCAGCACGTCTTCACAGCCATGCTTTGAGGAAGGGGTGCTGGGGCGGGAGCGCAGCTGCAGACTGAGCTCCAGGGAGGAGCTTTGTGTAAATAGGCGGAGCCTTGTACCAGGAAGTGTTTAGGCAGCTCCACATGGCTACAGGAGATTCACGGATATTTCAAACATGCATGAATGAATCAAAGAAACACCCTGGTGTGTTTTTGAAGAGGGAACATGATATAAAGCTCAAAAACGTTATGCAGTCCCCTTTAAAATTGTTACTTTTTTGAAAACCACAAAATTTCAGGCGCCAAAGCCACTTGAAAAATGTTTTAAATGAGAATTTTTCTCACTTAAAAAAATGATAGAAACCTTTTCCAGAAAGATTATTTTTAATACTTCTTGCTCAACTTATGCACAGCCAAAAACATAAAAYACTTTTACTTTTAGGCTCATCCATTTTGTTCTCATTTTTTTCCCCCGGAAAAAATATTACCTCTGTGTAAAAACAAACCACAGACCAAAGAAATAACCTGTGATTTTGAATATACATATATAACATATATACATATATCATATGACTAAATTGTTCGAATAAAAGTTATTAATTAATTTATTTTTAAGGCATAACCTAATGTATCCTTTATCCACTTGTCACAAAAAACAAACAAACAACAAAACAAACAAAACAAAAATAACAAAAAAACTGAAATTGTGCTGTAAAAGTTGCCAAAGTGAGGCATCCTTTGTATCCGGCTGCAGTATCATCATGTCTGGGTGATGGGAGATGATGGATTGATTTTGCTCTGCTTCAGACTTGAGCTGTCACTCTGTGATAGAAAGGCAGCAACCGGAGTGCGGCGCAGGTGCACCGGATTGTGTTAACGTATACGATACACCTCCTGATGGAGAGGTGTGCGTTTCCACTGCTTGGCAGAAACATTGTATATACGATGCAGGTCTTTTGGGACAACCACACTTTTTTTTCTTCTTTATTTGAAAACTTTTTCAACCATCAAATATGTTTTTTTTTACCAGTCCATTCTATCCTTGCTTAACCCTAATTATTGTTGAATATTTACTAAAGTAATGATTTGCTTTTAGCTGGATCAGAGACAAATTGATTAAACGAGAAGTCAGAAGTCTCCACTCACATTGTGAAGCTTTGATCTTTTTGAAAGCTTTTACATCTGGGTTTCATTTTTAAAACAAAATATATTTTTATATGAATATCTGGCTCATGCTGATCAAACGTGTTGTTTATGAATAATGAGGCTTTTAAACCATTAAAAATATTCCCTTTGTTTGGGATGTTCATGTTCAGACTTAGGAATTAAACGTAAAGAAAGTCTTTCAGGTTTTTTTCTCCCCGGTATTAGTATTATTTTGTGGTAAACTGTTTACCACCATTTTATTTATTTATTACCATTTTATTTTGTCTACTCTTTGTCTCATTGTTAAAACTTATGGATGTGCTTTTTCCACTGTAAAATACTTAAAAGTTTTACCTGAAAGCAAAAAAATGAAATTAAACTTAACCACTTTCTAAGAATATCCCAACTTATATTGTCCAGTTGTTATGTTGGTTGTAGATTATGAAGTTTCCTGCATGTGTGTGTGTTTATCTCTCTGTTAGCAAAATATTTGCTGAAGCAGTGGATGTTATGTTAACTCTAAGAAATAAGCACTAGATCTACAGCCAGTAAACCTTTTGGAGCCAATCCAATACAAGATGGCTGCCACAGTTAATCCCACTTTGAAAACAGAAAAATGGTTACAACTCAGACATGTTACAGATTTGGAGGTAAAATTTGGTGTGGTAGTAGCTGAGAGTCATCCCCAACACATAATCTGAAGGAGTAGAGAAAATTTTGCTATATCATCATCGGCGATCATTTATAATGTTAGTTTGTTAAGATTTCACCAAGATTTAAACATAAATCAGTCATTTTTCAACATAAAATGATGATCCTGCTTTAATATTTGTCATGAAAAGTGTGTGCWGCTTTCTTTTTCTTGTGCTATCAGTCCAGTTAAACTTGTTTTTATTCTGAATGCTTAGTTTTGAAA